GAATTAGATTTTGAGGAAAAGCAGATGCTGGAGTGAGAATTGAACAACGCGAAAAGAGCATCGAAGGGCGAGAAATTCCCCTGTACACTGCAAAAAAAAAAAAAAAAAAAAAAAGAAAAGAAAAATCAGAAAAATTTGCGAGTAAGCTCGAAAAAGCTTTTAGCGGCCGCGATGACGCGACACTTTTCGCTCTTTCTTTCGCTTCTATTTTTTTTTCTCTCCACGATTATTAAACATGTTTCGTGCGCCGTAGGAATTTCTTTTTTTCTTCGAGGTTGCGACGAGAGAAGACGGAGATACGCATCGGTCGGGACGAAAAAAAAAAGAAAAAAATGTGCTCGTAAGCTTTCGCTTCCCTTGGAGCAATATTGCGTTGAAACTACGGAGTTTAAGCCCGAACGACTTGGTCAAGTGGCCGATCCATCACCCGAGCGCTACCAAGCTTGTCATTGTTGCCATCCACCCGCCCTTTGACGTTTGTATAAATCAGTGTTCGGTGTCACGGTAGATGTATCGCGTTAAATTTTTTCCTCCCCCACTTTATTGGCGCGTAGGAAAAAATCGACGCGTCATTTTATGAAACAAAGAGATCTAATTAGCTGCACGGATATACACGCGCGAGCTGGATAATTAATAATCCGCCCTTCGAGCAGTCGTGATTAAAGCTCGTTTAAACTTTCCGCCAACTCCACGTCTTCTTCCACGCGGCTCGACGAGCACTCGCGCTCTCGTACATGCATATATAAGGAGGGAATTGCAGTCTCGCGTGTATACTCATGTACCCGCGAGCATAAGATCACGGCTGACAGCGCTTACGCCGAGTGGCTGTGAATAATTTTTCTTACCGCCGCACCTTCCTCTTTGTCTCCTACTTTCATCCCCGCTAGGTGTAGGTATATATATTTCCGCTCTCTTGGACATTATCCCACGTATACGCACCGACTCACTGAAAGTATAATATATAGCACGTTTGCTGAATCTACAACCGATTCGTTCATTTTGGTTATTTTGAGTTGTTTGACATAAAGGTGTTATCTATACGATGGCTCCCCTCGCCCCGCCCCCTTTGTAATATATATTTCTTGCATTTCTCCGACCTCGGTTAAACGATTTAGTAATGGTCAACGAATACATGTTATATTATTTAACGAATATATACACCACAGCGCGAATGATTCACGTATTCGGTATTGAATTTCTCACATTTGTGGTTTCGAACGTATACATCATTTGCAGTTTGATTCCGATAGTTTTTATTTCATACAGATGGGATATTCGTTCGATTTCATTGTACGGTTATAAGTACGTTAATCGGGTATGAAATGGAATACTCTCGGGACAAAAGCGTTGTCAAACTCGACGATTTTGTCACGCATCGCGTTTCAATGGCGAAATAATTACGCTTGAATACTTTCGTCTCATTATATCACGGCGTGCAAATAACATGTTGTAGTTCAAAGGGCCAAACGCGAAAAGCAAGTATCTATGGTAATCGAGAACAAAGAGATATACATGTATATGTTCATCGTCACCGGGTGTAATAATTGTACGATATAAAATCCATCGTTGATGACACGACCGAATGAGGAACCCCCAAACTGAAACGATACGAAATCAGTCGTATAAAAACGAGAATATACCAGAGGCGCGCATCATCATCCCTCCCACCCTTACGGTAAACGTCGAATTTGACCTCGTCGCTCCGTGGAATTGGCCCGTACTCGCGCAAACATAAAAATGCATTACGAGGAGCAGGTAAGATTCGAGGAAATGGACGAAGGAAGCGCGCGTAGCAAAGCACCGTGAAATTACCACTAACTGCCCTTAACAACACCCCTCCCCAATGCACCATATATAGTTGTGTACAATAACGCAACGCGTCTTCCGTAAAAATGTACAACATAAAGGTTATCTCGGCTCGTAAAACACGCAGCAGAGGAACGACTGTACGCATAAAAACTCCGGTGCATCTTTTGTATGGCCATCACCTGATACGTCGCGTCTTGGCCCTTATTTTTTTTCGTTTCTCCTCCACCGGTGGACTTGAATTAATGTATTAACCAGCCAGAAGCAGCGGCAATTTAACTCGATGATAAATGACGCTCGAATTTAATAGCCGTCCCTGTCTTCCGGCGCCCACGCCTCCCCCGCCCTCGAGATTAATCATTCAACTTTAACGGCACCGGCGCTGTGGGGGGCTGTTTTCCGCGCGCGTTGTATATGTAGTGTCGGACACGCGCGCGCGGGAAACAAAAGAACAACAGAGCGCGGGGATCGATCGATCGATCCTACGGGGACTGGTGCTACTGTACCGCTACTTCTGGAACTTTAGAGGAGGGAAAAAAAAAGCGCGGACGCGAGAGAAAAAACGTTCCTCGTGTAGGGTACTGGTGGACGTGTGCGCGCTAGCAATAGTGTACATGTATACGATGTGCAGGTGTATAGAATATACATATATATGCATACGAACAATAGGACGTGGAACACGGCGCGACGAGAATAGACAGGATTTTTTTCTCTCCTTTATAGGGTATACAACACGGGCAAGTGCAACTCTAAGTTTACATACACGGTGGCAGCGATACGCTACACGAATGCAAAAAAAAAAAAAAACAGACGCCCAAGGGTGACTTTTGTATTTACGCGTGAAAAAAGTTAAAGCGGACGGGGAAGAAAGGACACGAGCGCTTGCTTCGAATATACCTACTCGTACTGATCAATGGGGTGGACCTACAATCATTTTTACAATTACAGGGACATTACAACCCATATGATTTCACACTATATTTTTTATAATATTACAACTGTCATTATTATTATTATTATTATTATTTTTAGTATGTGCATTTTTCACGTATGAACACGTAAACGATGCCACATGGATAATAATAATAATAATTATCCGCGTGAAAACCAGAGGAATATGGATTCGCCGAATGGTACTCAATAATACGCGGCATCGGGAGCATAGGCGCGGCAGTCAAAGCATCGGTGAGCCTTGTTTGAGTGAGTGTGCTGTGTGTGTGTGTGTGTGTGTGTGTGTGGAGGTGCAGTCGAAACATTAACTGGGGCGCGAAATGTCGAACGCAACAGTTTCGTAATGCCATTAAGGACGAAACTCGGCTGGTGTGTATGTAGCTGCGTGTACGTGGGGGGGGGGGGGGTGCCGTGCGCGTTTACCCTCGGAAAACTTTGTCCATAATTAATATCATCGACGACGCACGCACTGAACCCTTGAGCACGTAAATCACAAGTCCCTCTCGGCGAACCGGTTGTAGGTACCTAATCCGCGCGTAAGAGCCGTTTGTCAAAAAGTTTGAAATTAGAAAACAAAAAACTCAGCTGGCACCGTAAATAGGAAAAAAAAAAAAAAAAAAAAAACTTTGAGTAGCAGAAGAATCCCAAAAAAGTGAATCACTTCGTCTGAAGATTATCGGCAAATCGAAGGCTATACATATACATTGTAGTACCGATTTCGCTATACGATTGGAGAGGGAATAAGCGAATCGAAAAAAGAGGGAGCTCGTGAATAGTAATGAACATCTTGTTTTTTTTTCTACTGCACGAATATACTATATGATAACATGATATACATCTCATGTATGGAGACAACGGAGAAAAAGTGAGTTTTTTTAGTACTTGTACCTACTTCTTTTTTATGCATATGGGCCATTAGCGAGAGCTTGCATAAGTACATACGTTGTGTGCTTGCACCGAACCCCCCCCCCACAGCTTTATATGATTTTTTCCATCGTATTTCGTTCCGTACATACATCATACATACTTGCTCGTAGCTTTCCTCCACTGAAGGGCCGACACACCCATGGTACTGTTAGGTACCTGTATACGAAAAGTAAAAGCTGTCGCGGTCGAAGAAGTTTCGCACAAAAGCATGTAATCTCGTTCCAAGTAGATTAATTCCATGGAAAGTTGAAGAGTGGAAGCCACGGGCGGCGGGGTTAAGGCGACCAGGCCGGGGTGTGGTAGGGAATACTGAATTATACTGGTGTATATAAATATATATACGTACATGAGACTCGAGAGCACCACTGATAGTAGAGAGAGAGAGAGAGAGAGAGAGACAGGGAAGGGAACGCAAAGTCAGTTTTCGCGGTTGCTAAAGCACCGGCAAGAGTTTCAAACTACTGTTCGTTAATTTATACACAATGAGTGTGCATGCGGGGTGAGGAAGAAGGGGGATCTCGGGTGGGGTAGAAGAGTAAATGCCATGGGTCACCAAAGGTAAAAGGTCTCGAGGACGACTCTTACCATCAAAGACTCATCCGGGGTCAATTTGTTGCTCTCCTCTTTTCTTTCTGTCCTCCTCATCGGGTCGCGGGAGCGCGAGCTTTCAATTTCCAAGCCTTTAAAAGCCTCCCTGCAATTATATTTATACGTTGGCAGGGAGGCTGAGGGCACCACCCCGCGGATATACAATATATCATGGGCCGTAGCTCTACACGGGGGTACATATATAGCAGGGTATATCGATCGATAGCGGGCTGTTGATGTATCTCGCTCACGAGAATGTATGTACGGCTAAGCGCGAGAGGGAGAGAAAATGGGTCGACTTTCGAGGGTGGGTTAAAGCACTCACCTGGTTTAGCTGGACGCGATAACGGTGCTTTCGACTTTCCTCTACTCCGGTATATCCTACTGATTCTCATCTCTTCCGTACTGACCGCCGAGCGATTCGATGGCCACTGCGTTTTTGATTCAAAAATACACGCGTCGAGTACTTACAAGTACGTTTATATGATCAAGTAAAAATGTCACTGTGAAAGAGCACGCGCATTTGTTTGTTTACATTCTCCCGTTCACTGATTGCCTGTCTCAGCCACTCGCTTTACTACCGGCTACCGGCAATTGGTTTGCTAAATTAATACCATCAGTGAGCTCGTAAAATCTACCTTATCAACCGTTGTTGCGTCCCTTTCCGCAGTGTTTACATCGGGATTCGTTCTTTACTCAGTGCAGTCGAGCACCGCTGCTCGCGCGAGCGTATTGTGATCGTCTGCTCGTTCGGTCCTTTTGTTTATTTTCTATTTAAAAGTCAACATTAACACAATGTTGAGGCCGATGTCGTGCCTGTCAAAGCTGACACCGGTGATGATTTCGATAAACGCGAAGCTCCTGTGCGGCAATAATGCAACCAAAGTTACGACTCCGGCAATTGCGAGGAGTATACACCTAACCTCTCGGACGTTGGCGGATCGAAGAGACTTGCGAACCTTCAGGATGAACATGCCTGGCAAGGATGAGGGAACTTTGGGTGAAAAAATCATCGACATCGAAAAGCTTAGCGAACAGTTAGTTGTCAAGTTATATTCTAACTCGTATTTTCGTTTTATACATTTCGTGATGCTCATTGTTTGTTCTTTCATAGAGAAGGCCTGTTTCCCGATGTTAACACACCAAACAGACTCTTCAACGGGATTCCGTTCAAGGAACTGCCTGTGGTAAATATTAAAGTCACGCGAAATAATACAATTATGACCCTTACGGATTTCAAAGGTGAGTCTGTCATCATATAAACAGTAGTGCAAATGACTATGGTTGTAACTGGTTATTTTTGTTTGCAGGAAAAGTACACATTATCAAGTCCTGTGGTACCGAAGGCTTCAAGACAGCCAAAAAGGGAACCAATGTTGCAGCTCAAACAACTGCCATCAATTTATCTAGTGTACGTTACTATTTTATTGAGTAAAGTACATGACTATCATTGACTGTTTTTACATGATTGATTGTTTTTTCTTAGAAAGTACTAGGTCTTGGAGTAAGAACTGTAAGGGTACGAGTACAAGGATTGGGGCCTGGTCGAATGGTAGGAAAACATCAATTACTGTAATTTTAACGTGATTTAATTGTTTCTTTGTAAAGATTTTTCAATATTAATTCAGGCAGCTATAAAAGGACTCCAACTGGCAGGCTTGGAGGTAGTATCGATCACAGATAATACTCACGTGTCGTGGGACCCACCAAGACCGAGAAAAGTTCGGAGGGTGTAATCCAATTGTTGCAATATTTTTAATAATACCGAAAATATCGTTATATTTTAAAGTAAGTGTAAATAAATTTACTAAAAAATTGATTATCCAACAATACCGCATTGATTTTTAATCAACGCAGTCCACATGAATCTCAACCCGCCACCCATAAACATTGAGTTATCAAGGACAGGGAGTACGGTAGAGGCTGTAGGTCAACATCCTAATACAACGCGAGATTACATTTGGTGAGAGAAACGCGTTGTACAAGCCTCGTCATCATTATTGGCCGGAATAAGCACGTACACGCTCATAGACGCGAGGTTTATGCGACTCGTGGGACCAAAGCCGGAGGAAGGGGACAGGAGAGGTGGCAACGTTAGCCCTGCAATTAACTGTCATTGCGTTTGGCTATAAAGTCGCCGCGAATTTATACCCGTGGTTGCGCGCTACATCCCTCCCCGGCCTTTTGCCATGGAGATCGAGGGGAGGAGCTAGAGCTCGTTAAGCCGCCGCATCTGCATATTCGCGGGATAGGGTAGATTAATTAGTTGATAAAACGCACGTGCACGGATTACCTTGATCCATTAGCTGTCGTTACACGGTCTGAGTATTTTATTTCGTTATTTGTCTATATGATACGTTTCATCCGATAAGTTTGCTCACTTACGATAATTAGTGCCGTCCATGTAAAATGCTAAAACGCTCCAGCGCACTTACAAACACTGCAATCAATCCATTTGTTTGCAATAATCGATCAGCGTCGTGGTGACGAATCAAACTTTTATTTCCAATAATTATTGTATTTTCAAATTATACGCACTTATTAAATAATCTTAAATGACTGAATAAATAATTACACGTTACATTATTAATTACAAATCCTTATGAGCGAGTGAGATCTTGCACTTGTACAACAACCGACAAGATTCTTTGGTATATCACAGTCGACGTATCTTTACGATGAATATTGACCCACCAAGCCTGCAACTGTTTGAATCAACGAATCCATCCAAGGTGAAATAGAAGTTTCCGATGGAAATTCCAAGGGCCATCGTAGATTCACTTGCGCGCATTCTCGAATATCCAAGGCACGAATTCCGATACCCTCGTGTAAATCCCCGGCAGGCGTTTCCTCGCGCAACCGATGCCCGTCGACACGATCCCAATAACCATCGTCTTCTCATTACCATCGGACACCATCAGCGGGCCGCCGCTATCGGCCTGCGAACAATAGCAACGGAAGCGAAAATAATAGCTGTTTTTTTTTCGTTCATTCAGGATGAGAGAGAGAGCCATCGATTCGTTAACCAAAAACGTGTCGGGCGTACGCAACGCGTTACTTTTTAATAACAAAGACCTGCAGAAAAAAAAAAAAAAAAAAAAAGGGTGCGCCGGATGGCCGAGGGAAAATAAAAACTCGTAATTGGAAAAAGTCATTTGCCTTGCAAATGGCTGATGCGCTCCACGAGATCGGTACGTATGTTAGAACAGGAGGGTGGGGGGAAAACAAATTACGATTCGAGCACACAAAAACCGACCCCGATAAGCTCTGCTTTTCCCGGGACGGATGGAAATAAGCTCCAATCGGACCACGTTCAAGCATTTACTTGCAAAAGTTGAGGCGACAGTGTCGCGCGGCTTGATAATTACCCACCCGTGCATCCTCCGAAGGAGGGTATATATTATATACACACGCACCCTAAACCGACGACTCTTACGGGTGGGGGGAAACACGGCAAGTCGGCTGATTGGCAATTATGCGCGACAGCGGCTTCCTGCGATTCCCGTAAGTCGTATACATATGCGACAACCACATACACTACTGCCGGAGGGGAGCAATTGGCAGCCAATGCTTTTTGTTGGCAGTTGCGAGAAAGAGACGCGAGGGAGTTGTTGTAATGGCGGTGGTCGGCGTATCGCGCTCAATTAGGAGAGGGAGCTGAAAATCCGGAATCGCGTTGAGCTACGGTTAGGAGGTTGCTCGTTTCCGTCGAAAATGCCGAGCTGATGATGCGAGCCGTTCACCCAAAAGTGAACACGGTCCAAAGTTAACTGGCCCACCCTGTTAAACGCGTTTCATACAACTTTCCGGGAAAATTAAGTATTTTCGACAGCGAGTTTCGCGTACCACTTAGGGGGGGGGGCCCTGCACATAACTTGCCACTTCGGACAGAGTTTGGGTGTTTTAAAAGGGGGTCGCGCTGTCAGTGCTAAATTTGCCTGTAATGACTGGACGAGTACTCTCTACGCGTAAATTCGCGTTTGATGAAGGATCGATCGAGAGCCATCGCGTGAATGAAGCGAACGCGCGCGTTTGCCCCAATTACTTTGGCCCTCGCTTTCACGTGCCCTTCCTCCAACATACGTATATTACGTTTAGAGTGAATTAAAATTGCGGAATGGGCATATGGGGAAAAAAAAAAAGTTGTAAGTGTAGGGGAGTTTACCGCGCAGGCATCCCGGCCGCCGTTCTCGTGGCCGGCGCACATCTGCCCGTACTTGACTCTGAAGACCTTGCCCTGGCTGGCGTACCAGTCGCTGCAGACTTTGTCCTCTATCACGTTGACCCCGACTTTTTGCAGGACGTGGGACTTTGTATCTGGAAAATATCACATTTGACTCACAATTGGCCCTCCTGTGTCTGACTATACTCGGTTTGTTCTACTTAAGCAAAGCGAGCTCCGGGGAATCTCGATTAATCAGCAAAATAGAGTTTAGAAACTTATGTTATGCAGGACAAAAAAAAACAAAGATGATAATAAGATGTTCTCTGTAATTAGTTGAGTTAGCGATTTTTCTGGAGATCGGTACGCGTGTGAAAAAAAAAAAAAAAAATACTCACGAGCGGACTTGTCTTCCCCCAGCCAGCCCCAGCCGGCGGCGACCGCGACCTCGCCGCTGAAGACGCTGTAGTCCGTGTCCCCGAACTGAGGTGGCAGACAGGCCGGCTTGACGCTGTCCGACCAGGCGACGTCGTCCCTCAACTCGAGCAGGGCAATGTCGTTACTGTACTTGCCGCACTCGAAATCCGGATGGATAATCATGTTTCTCACTGTCTCGGTCGCCGCGCCCGGCAACTCCGGCCCGTGCAGGTCGTGCTCCCCCACCGTCACGCGTATCTGGGCCGCCGGCATCATATCGTCTCTCCTGCGCATCCGTCATTTATTACTATTTTTTGTTTTCAATTTACCTTCATCGAGGACTCGTCCCCTTGTTGCCGCTCTATTATTTTAATTGTAAAATGGCATCGCGATGAAATTTTAAAACACACGGCAACTGCAATTAGGGGGGGAAAAAACAAAAAAAAAAAAAAAAAAAAAAAAAAAAATAGAGAGAGATTCGTCATAAAATGCATAAATGGCCTCGAGCTAAAGAGTCACGTGCGAGCGTGCGCGGCCCGAAAAAACTCGATTTCCACATTAAAAAGATTTAAAACCCAAAGAGCGGGAAGAGCTGTGGGTGAAGGGGACTGGACGAGCACGTGCGGAGAGCCAGAGCCAAGAATTGGACTAATTAATGCAAAAATTAAATTCCCCGCTCGCGCACACACGGAGAGTGGCGAGAGAAAAAAAAAAGGGAGAGAGAGAGAGATATAGAGGCTCGTTCATTTCCGGCGTCTCGAGACGTGACTGCCACCACCAGCTAACGGTGGGCCAGCCCTCGGGGTCAGAAGCAATTATTTTATAGGGATCCTCGAGTTGTAGGCCGCGCAGAGGCGTAAACGAGTGTTTGAACAGCGCCTAGCCACGGTGGCTTTAATTAATCGCCGGTGGACTCTCACCCCCGGGCTCTGAATAATTAACAAAATTATACGCCTCCTTCGCGGCGGGCGACTTTTAAAATCGGGGGGCTGAACGAAAGTATTTGCAGGGGCTCTCTCGATCCGTAATGGCGCCCCGGAAGAGCTCGGGGCTTTATTGTTCTCGGGGGGGGGGGGGCACGAGGACTCGAGTGCGAGAAACGACCTTCCCTCCCCCTCCCCTATTTCTCTCGCCTCAAGCCGATGAGCTAAATTAACGAGTCATCGTCCGTACCGTGGACCGATTCTTTCTCCAAATAAGCGATGAACACCGGTGTACCGCCAGACCTTGCTCGCATCGAGTTTCGTCTCTGACGAGGCGAAACTTTTCCTCCCCACTCATCGATTCCTCGCGAGACGAGGCGCTCCTTTATTCCTCATAATTAGAGTTACGATGACCCACCAAGGAATATATTATATATACGGACCGCACGCGTAATCATCCCCCGATGAATCGATTCTCTCTCTCTCTCTCTCAATAATCTTGTATCGTCACGCGTGTACTCGAGAGACGTCGAGGAACGAACAAAGGGAAAAAGAGGGTGGGCACAAAACAGCCCGTCAATTATGCAATCCGCGTGCTCTCCCTCTCTGCCGGTATACGCGAGAGAAAGCCTCTCGTGCTTAATCATACGTACATATATGTGTATACAGGTATATAGGATATGGTCACAGGGGGGAAGAAATTAATCATCGAGCGAGCAAGAAAAGCGAGCCAAGCTTTTTCAAGGTGAGAAGAGCACCATCGCGCGCAATTTGCCGCCCATTGTTCTATATAATATATCTTATACGGTCCGAGGTATACGCGTGCACATATATTATATGTACAAATAATCCCGTGTGTTGTGTATGTATAGGTGCAAGCTGACGAGTTTCTTGCTCCGTAAATTTCGCGCCCCTGCCACTCCCTCCCCTTGTATAACTTTTGCGACTCGATTATACTATACACCCCCTTCTTTTTTTTTTCTTTCTTTCTTTGAGCATTTGTATGAATTATGGAAAATGAGAAAAAGCAAGGAAATTAAGCGCTGTGGTATAACTCACACGCGTCTTTGCAATTTCAGTCGAAAGGAGACGCGGGTGAAAATCAGCTCGCCCCGAAACGGCAAATGGGGCACACCTAACTCTCGGGCCCCGGTGCATCAAAATTCAGACGGTCGCGTAATAGTTGACCGACCAATTGCGGGGCAGAGGCTGTTGGACGAGTTCTCGGACGATTTGCGGAAAATTAGGGAAATTACCGAAATCCGTGAATTGACGAGCTCGGCGAAATTCCCTCACATGCATGATGAACTTTGGGGGCCGCCCCAGTTGCACCGAACAGAGACCGGTATATGTATGTATGTGTGTGTGGGCGAACGATAATGGCTCCTCCTCTCCCGGACCGACCGAAATGACAGATAGGGAGCCGACGACGACCGCTGGACTCGACGGAGGAACGAACTATCAATCCCTCCCGCTCTGACGTATAATTTCTGGTGGTGTGTTGCATGTGTGTGTGTGTGTATGGGTGCAAGGCACTGCAATGTTTTATGCGCCGAGTATACACACGCGCTTTCGCCCCCCCCCCCCCCGGTGTACAGTCGTTTTCCGTGTACGCCGGGGGTCGTTTGGTTTGGCCGTTGCGACTCCCGGACAATGTAAACCCACGCGGCTGTCTCTCGTTGATGCAAAATTATGCACGCCAACAGCGGCGGGCCAACTTCATGATATCGTTACTTATGTGTGTGCACAGCCGGCCATGCGAGACTTGCCGATAATGCGCATTTGTCCGAGCGCGCTCGTGTGTGGCTGGACGTCCTTTGCAAACTCATTTTTCGTCATCCGTCATTCGCGGATTTTTTCGGCCTGTAGGTATATATATATATGTACGAAGGCCGTTTGATCGAGCGCCCGTGCTCGGGGTTATTTATGAGCTCTGCCCGCGGCTGAGGGGGGGTTGCCTTTGTGTTTGTTGTCGCGTGCTGGTGGCAGTTTCGCCGGGGTGGATTATTTCGCGAGCTACCCCCGCATGCAAATTGAAAAGGGCCGGGGGTGGATGAAAAATGTATATACCTACTCGTGACACGAAAACGTAAAAACTGATCGAATATGATTGTTTGGACAAGTTGGGTAGTTTGTTAATTATCGAAGCTTTTTTTTTTTTTTTTTTCTTTTAATTCGACTTTCCAGTAATTCACGAGTTTTCGATGAAGGGCTCTTCCTTTTTTATATATACACATTGACCTGTTTTTACGGTAAAACATAATATTTTCCGCTGCGCGTGTAATTCAAGTACTGAACGACGAGTGTCCGAAATTGTTGACATCGTTGGCAATCAACTGTTTCATTATTAAAATTTCGATCTCGCGCGAAACAAGAAAAAAAAAACTGTTTAAAAAAACCGTTGATTGAGTTTTCGAAACAACAAATCAATTAAATTTACTTCGAAGCATTTTCCAGCTACGTAGTTTTCCCCCCCAATGGAGTTCCAAAGCGTACCTCGTTATTTGTCAATCAAATTCTCTCTTTCTCATTTTCCCTATACACACGAAAGGCTTTTAATTCCACATTGGACACTCCCCTCGGTTTTAAAGCGTAAGTATCTTTGATGCGAGTGGCACTTACGCGCAAAAACAGTGGGCCGCAGTGAGGACGAATTTCGAGCTGAGGATGGTGCCGCCGCATATGTGTCCTCCCTTGCGCGTGATGCTCACCATCCAGGGAAACTCCCGGGGCACGGCGTCTTGGCCCCCTACTATGCGACCTCCTCGGTGCGCGTTAACGCTCTGGCCGCACGTAACGTCCGCCACTGCAACAAATGAATAAAAGTTCCAGTTTGGGTGTACACCTGAAAAATCAGCTCGTCATCGATTACACCAGCAGCTCCTCCGAATCGCATCGGAGAAAAAGGGGTTGCAGAGGTATACGTACAGGCTATAATCGCCCGATTCGCGAGTCGTTTCAATATTTACCGAGTCTCGTCACACCCACGTATGTGTATACGAAGGTGTAAAATACAGAGATAGAGAGTGACTGGGACACCATAGGGGATGGGGGCGGATGTAATAACGTAATAAAACTTTAAATTGAACAAGTTCGGGGCGCGTACAGGTGAAGAGCCCTCCCCCCTGCATGGGAACCTATGTTGTCAGCGATCCCTAGTTTTCACCCGTTTCCGCTGTTCCTCCCTCCCCCTCGCGCACTGAGGGGGTAGAGGAAAATCGGAGCTCATGCATTATACAAGAGAGAGGTCTAATCGAAAAAAGGATTAACATCGGTTCTCGGATTCTCGTTAACCAGTTTTCTGTCTTGCGCGTTTATCTTGCCTTCTGTCCGAGCGAGGTAGTATAGCTGGGTATGTATATACACGCGGGCGAGGGCTTTGATTCGCTTCTCGCGCGACAAACGAAAACAAACTCGCTGTATCCTCGGTGCAGGTGATGCTGCTCCCACAAAAGCCGAGCGTGGGGTATTGGAGGATCAGAGGGAGGTCTTCCAGTGCAAATGAGACGCACAAAGAGCCACAGAGGGGGAAACACAGAGCCGCGCTCCTCGAAAAGTACAGTGCAAAATCAAAAGGGAGAGGGAGACGCGCGTCAAAGGGACCACGGGATCTCTCCCTCTCTCGCGTTTTCTAATTCAACGCCGGAATCGTCGTTACACACGTTCGGGACGGATCTAAAAGTTTTTTCATCATCCCGTACGCGTGTACCTACCCCACCCCCCCTCCGTGTATGATGTCGTGAGAGGGAGAATTACGTTTGTCGGGCAAAACCCTCCCTCCCGAGCGTACGTATAAGTAGGTGCACCGCGGTAGAGCCCCGGGTAATTGCAAAAAGTCCCTCGCGCCGCTCAGCTCCGAGTTTTTTTACTTCTTCACTCTGCAGCCTCGTGTGGGGTTCTGATGAAATTTCAATTATTCCAATTTCCGCGCTATGTATATATTCCGTCGTGGCGTTAATCAAGGCGGAACCTACGTATAAACCGATGGATCGACGCGGCCGCTCGCCGTTTCATAATTAACGTGCAACCACCAGCCCTATCATCCATCTGGCTCTCGTGGATTATATGCGCCGGCGCGAGGAGGGGAGAGACGATTGGGTTGATGTAACGGAACCGGTCGATCCTTGTATATATACGTTATGGCGCCGATGTAACGAGAAATACAATATAATTACCGTTTCGCTATGTGGAAGAGTGTGTTGTTCCACAATTAAAAGGAGGGCTTGTTAATTGGCATTCGGGGAAAAAAGGTCGAGGCCTCGCTTTGACCCCGTGTCCGCGCTGGAGATAATCTGCTCTTCTTCCTCCCCCTAGTAGGGTACATATATATCTCTTTGAGCTCGCATCTCTCGTGTAATTGGTCGCGTTCGCGTGTACACACGGCCAAACTCCCACGCTATAATCGGCTTAATTATCCCGACAGTGGCATCGGTGGCACTCGCACTGCACAATACACCTGTTCAAAGAGGCATACATGTATATGAGAGAGAGAGAGAGCCGCATTCACGGGGCAAGAGAGATCGGCGTGTGTGTGTGTGTATAGGTACGAGCTCACAGGCACGCAGATATAGGGATTTCGAGAGATGCCACTGAAGATCTATCTCCGGGCGAACGAGAGCGTGCTCGTCGCGTGGAGTTGGATCGAGAAGCCACTTACGGACAATGAGGAGGAGGAGGAAGTATAGTACTTTACTGGTGATGGATACCGCTGATGTACAGGCTCTACTCACGGAATGCCGGACTCCCATTGGGCTGGTGCAATATATATGTACCAACTTTTTTCTTTTTTTTCCAGTGCCCTGTGTGAAACTTATTTCACTTACCGATCGCGTCGAAGAGACCGCGAATGAAGAAGAAAAAAAGGGGGAGGGGACAAGGCTCGAGAAAAAAACACCCAAAAATTATTCGTCATCCGCGTTTGGGATTGTCAAGGGAAAGGGGGTGACGAGCCTCAAGGGACACTGTACCATCCAAGAAAGCCAGAGCTTGGGGACAAATTCAACCCCCCCCCACTCCCCCCGAGAATTGGCATCAACAACAACAACAGCAGTAGGCGCGGATACCAACGGGGGCAAGAGGATCTGTCAGCGCCGATCCCCGCGCGGGCCGAGCAACTGCATCAGCGGCACTATGGATGCGCTCGAGTATATATGGTCCCTCGTTTCACGCGTCGCTTGATTAATTGGACCTCCCGCTCTTCTCTTTCTCCCCGTCGAATCCTCATTGCCAGCCAAGTTGTGCCATCATAGGTATATAGCACGTAATAGATGTGTCAAAAACAGGGCCGAACTCTCGCACACCCGGGATAATATAATGCCGTTGATGCGCGGTGCAAGGCAGTGACGGTGTGCGTGTACGCGTGTAGTTGCTTCGCCCCCTTACTTGTGCGGGATGCTGCTGACGCGGGAGACGCGACTCTTCCGGGGCTCATCTGGTGTACGTATACGGACTAGATAAAGCAGCTATCTATTGGATTATTTATTTGCCATTGTCTCAACCGATGCGACGTAGTGAAAAATTTGGAGCACTGTCGCGTCTAAACGACCGGCAAACTCGATTATCTCCGTGCGTACCACTGCGCGGGCAGATCAAAGCGACGCGTGGGGCTGAATTAAACGGACGCGATTGTCATTTTCTCTCTTTTTTTTTTTTTTTTTTTTTGTTTTTTCCTCCCTTTGGCGAATTATTTTCGTTCGTAAATTGATTTACGTAGCCCACAGAGAGAAAAAGAGATGGGGGTAGAAAAAAAAACGATTCGGATAATGGATTTAATTAATTTCTTCAAACAATGGATCAGGTGGTGATGAACGAGGAAGGAGAGGAGAGCCAACAAAAGCCTATTAGAAATACGCCCCGGCGCGGCCGGTAATTAAAACTCTTTGCCGCGGCAGTAGCAGCACTTTTGAGATATCATTTTTACGCGATTTTAATTAAAATATACACCCGACTGCACGTGCACGTGTGTCTGTGTGTTAAACTAAAATTAAATACAGTGTGCACGCGGTATTTTATCATTATTATCAACCTCATGTGTAGGACAAAAGATTTTTTTTTTTTCAATTACAAAATTGTAGGAAAAAAAAAATAGTAATGATCTTGCTGGTCAAATAAGCTTCGGGTGAAATCGATAAATTAAAATTGAAATTAAAAAAAAAAAAAAAAAAGGAAAAAAAAAATAATTTCCTCCACACTCACATAGAAGGAACGAGTGAAATGACGTTAAAAACTTACGGTTATTGTACTCCTCGGTAAACGCGAAAGACGTCACCAGCGCCAATAGTCCGAGCAGAAAAAGAAAACGGAGCTCCATATCCCCGGTGCGAGCCATCATGGGACTTGACGCGACGACGGCGATGACGGTGAACGACGAGTGCGAGCGACTCGGCGACGTTTTATACTTTTTAATCGCAAGCCCCACGTCCCGATCGACGCATCCAACTCCCCCCCCCTCCCTCCCACACACCTTTGTTTCTGTTTGACTTTGGCTGCTGTTTGAACCCTTTGACCCTCGCGCGACTGGCTTTGAAAACGGGAGATAACACGCCAGAGTCAATACATGCTCGCGACTCTCCGGGCAAGGCCGAGGGCACTCGGTGAAGGCTCTCTCTCCACTCAAAACAAACATCATACAAATCACCGCATCACGTCACTCGGTGCCATACAGTGAATCTGTTTTTTTTTTTTTTTTTTCATTTCGGTGTTATAAGAAAAAAAAGAAGCAAAAAAAGATGTTTGCACATGGTGTGTGTAATAACTTCCAACCACTGGATAATCGTGTTTTTCCCAGCCCCCACGAGGGACGAACCTGTACGCTACACGCAAAGCGGCTGATCCGATCCCGCGTCGAAGCTAGAGTGGGTATACGTACATCCGAGCGATTTTCGCTTCAGCACGTTCCCCGGAGAGCACTGGGAGCTACNTTTTTTTTTTTTTTTTTGACTCATATCGGTGAGATAAGAAAAAAAAGAAGAAAAAAAAGACGTTTGCCCGTGGTGTGTGTAGTAACCGATAACCACTGGATAATCGTGTTTTTCCCAGCCCCCACGAGGGACGAACCTGTACGCTACACGCAAAGCGGCTGATCCGATCCCGCGTCGAAGCTAGAGTGGGTATACGTACATCCGAGCGATTTTCGCTTCAGCACGTTCCCCGGAGAGCACTGGGAGCTACGTGTATGTATGTATGGCCCAGAGCTTGTGGTCAGGGGCTGACGCAGCCCTAACGAGGAGGGCTCCGTCGATGGGATGGCAATAACGAAGCCGCAGAGCATTAGACGGCGTGGCACGGGTTTAAAGTGAAACGAAGGGAAGATCATACCCACTCGGTTAGCGTGCATGAGCGTCGTTCATCCACTCCTCGAACCGGTACATTTGTACAATGGGCCATCACGTCCAGGCCTTTTCTTGTACTTTTCTGGTTATTCAATGATACACGTCCGTGTAGTGGCACGTGGAGGGACTTCCGGTGCTCGATCTCAAGGCATAAATGGGCCATTGTGGCAAAACGAGCGTACACGGCAGGGTCCCCCACCTCTTGCTCCTGTGCGCTGCGGTCGAGCCACTCTACCATTGCGAGGAGGAATAGAGAGAGTAGGAACGGAGCGAGCGACCGATAAGCGATTGATGGCTACTCGTGTGTACTCGTCTACATTTGGGAGCAACGACTGCCGCCCCCATTTCCTTCTTCCTCTCCGTTTTTTTTTTTTTGTGTGTTTTTTCGTACATGACTCCACTATCGGTCGAGTTGGAGCGCCGACCTTGCCTACACATCGTCACTGCAGTCTATTCGGCGTTTTCTCAACTATTCTCTACACACGAGTAGCCCACTACCTGTAAACACCTTGCGCAAGTCGAAATATCCGAGTTTTTTGTTCTTCACCGTGACGATTGAGTACGTTTCTTTGTATGTGCATACACACATTGGAGTTTAGGACAATAGAGCTGTACGAGCGTTTACACTCGAGGTGCCTGAACTAACGTTATTTCGGTCGTCAAACTCAAAGGTCGTACCGAAGGACTCTGTAATACCCATATCGTTTCTTAATTTATGTTGGAAAACTGTTTTGTTTTTATTTGCTTTTTTTTAATAACAACCTATTTAATTGCATTTTTATTAAATTCTGACGTTTCAATGCGTGAGCAAACACATAAAAAAGTTAAATTTACCGCTCATTGTATCTCCAAAATAACCACCTCCATCCATCATTGCTGATTAGGAACTACAGCTCTATCCGCGCATTTAATTTAAACAACAATCGATTACCTAATAAGGAGCAATGAGAAACAATGAAATAACGAATGGATTGGATTAATTTTCCCTTCTTGATTTCGAAACATATAAGAAGTACACACAGACAATGTATATAGGCACACTATCTTCCAAATGATGTTGGATCTGATAAGATATGATTTTAGTGCGGGATAAAAGTCATGGAGCATCGTAAACTTCGTACTTATGTATCAACTGAGAAAACCGTGACACCATCGGGAGATCCAGACATCAGGAGAGCGGCTACATTTATATATAATATTCGCCAATAATCCCATTATCCTTAACCTATTTACCCAAGCTTGTCCCGCTTATCATTTAATTGAATCATTGTTTATTGTCGCTGACGCGTACATGGATACATATGCCACATGGATACACGAGGTATAACAAATTATTCTAGTTTGTGGCTGCACAGAACAAAGTCTGTTTACGAGAAAAATGTCGACCACAAACAAAGAAATAAATAAGGGATGAAACGAAAAATTCCCGGTTAACAATGGTACACAGACGGCGCGTGTATCACGTACCCTCCTAGCTTTGATTAGTAACTAAACTGCACCCGCGCAACTAGATGGCATTTACAAGGCGAGCCAACAAGCCCAAACAAATAGCTAACCAACCACGAGAGAACCGCGCTCGTGTAATGTACATACACATGCAGGTGCATGCGTCGCTCACCGCAAACGTCCTAAATTATTACGCATTCGACACACAATTCACGCACACGCTGGACTTGTACTGGCAACTACACCTATATGTAGAACGGCACTGCCGTATATTTGCAGTGGCGCGTTGTTTGCGATAAGCCGAAATAAATATTATTATGCACCTCCAAATGTAGTCCACCTCTTACTTTTTTAAAGAGAATCTACAAGTTAGTTTGGTTGCATCCATATGAAGTCGCTGAACTTGACCTAGAATCGACTCGTCTTTGAGAGCTGCCATTGCACATCGGGTACAACGAGTATGCACTCTCCGAAGCATCAACCCGCATAATGGGAGTAGGTATGTATGACAAGCCTCAGAGTCGTGAAAATTAGGTATAGGCGCATGCGCAGCGATACGAAAGAGAGAGTGCACTGAAAAAATGTCAAGCAATTAAAAACCAAAAAATTGATATTCCCCGGAGGGCTGTTAAAGAGAGTGGAAGGGCTGTCAACGTCGTGTATGTACAAGTCCGACTCGCGTGGTACGCTCAAGAGCATGCACTCATCTATACTTACACAGTTTGGTTGATTAGAGGCACCCTTTGCTTCGGTGCACTTACATCACGCGCGTGCAGGTACTCTGCGAATATTTTCCAAAGTCAATTACCGTATCGACATGTTGCTTCGGCATTCACCAGCATCCTCTACGCACCGCGTACGCCATACCACCGGTCTTTTTTTCCTTTTTTTTTTTTTTTTTAGTTTACCGAGGAGTAAAAATAAATTTCAAAAGCAATAGAGAGCGTGATTACACCGGTGCGTGTATTGCATAGGCTAATTGGCCAATTCGCGACGGCGCTTATAATTATTCGAAAGGTGTGTATTTCCGTTGATTTATTTCGTTGCGAAAATAATCAACGAAACCTCGATCTCGGCGCTTGAAAAGTTCGAGAGCGCGTTGCAACAATCGTCATTGTCACACGAGTTTGGCCGAGTAACATTGACTCACATTACCTCCCACTCTCTCGCTTCCGCGCGCACTCTCGCGAGGATGCAAAAAAAGAGCATAGGAGCCGAGGGGACTCTACTTATCGTCTGCGTGAAATTTCATCGCGGCGCGGACAAGGTGACTGCCATAGGGGCATCGATAAGGACGCCCTTCGCTCGGTCTGCCGTGCACGTGGCTCGCATGAAAATTACAAAAGGATAAAAGCGTCTAGGAAAAGTTTTTTGATAAAATACTTTTGCAGAGTCGAGGAAAAAAAAAAAAAAAAAGAAGAAAAAAAATAACCAGATACATCCCTTAGGTGTACACTTTTTTTTCCCCTTCCATCCAATCAGGGTGAGGAGGGCTCCTTCCTTGCTGCTGCCGCAGTGCGAAATTAAATTGTCGAAGTTTAACGCATGCGAAACTTTCCGGCTTGTTTCTCGGGCCAGGTATATAAATATAGGCGTTAGTTTCTACAGGGAAACCCTCAGAGTAGTAGAGGGTACACTGTGAGGGATCAAGTGCTGGAAAAGATCGAGTGTCCGTGTCGATTATAGTCGGGTGTAACTTTTTGCGGGGAAGACGGGCACGCACGGGCCAATCACGACTCGATTCGCGCCGTGAAAAATTCAATTTTTTCCCAGGACTGACGCGCGGCCAATCGGTCGAATGGGACCTTGTTTCCAGTCCCACCCCCTTCCGATTCTTCGTTCCTTTTATCTTTTCGCGATCAGGACACACGGTCTTTCTTTTCGAGTTGGATGTATATTATGTACGATGGGCTTTTTGGTTGAATATTTTTACGGGCGATTTGGATATCGCTTTATAATATAAAAGTCCTTTTATTTTCCACATCCAGATGTGGGTATGGGTTCCGCGGCTATCGAGCCCCTGACAAATATTTAATGAGATTTTTATGGAATCCCATTTCGAGTCATAAATTTGTATGAAGTCGAAAAAACGAAGAGAAGGGGGGTGGGGAGGTTCATCCCGAGCCGGAATAAATTTAAGCCGTCGGGAATTGATGGACTATTGAAATTCCTGCCCCGTGAAATATGCATCATTTACCAACCCGAAAAGAAGCTCCATCCATCTCGCGTATATCCCACCGAAAAAAAAGAAAGATCAGCTACATCGCTTGTTGTGCACGATATCCACTCGCTGCAGAGTTACTCTCGAGAAATATCGATTACCAGAGAGAGAGAGCGGGGGATCGAAGGATGAGCCACTCCGCCGTGTACTGGCTCGACAGATATGAAAAAAAAAAGAGGTCCGCAGTCGAGATTTCAATGTCAGACCGATCGACCGACAATAAAATCGCTTCTGACAGTGACCTAATCTCCCTCTCTCGCCTCTAATTGAAATTCATGTTCACTGCGTTGCACACGCCAAGGCTCTCCTGTTGTCAAGGTAACGCGGAGCGCGTCCGATGATGCTTCATTCGATAACCCACTTTATTTCGTCTTTTGATATATGGAAACCATACGAACGGAAGAGACAAGGGCGTGCCTGACCCAGTTATTATTACTTTTTTTTCTTGCATCTACAAATCTGGATTCTCTCTCGGGGTTTACTCCGGAGAGTGGCTTGGAACAGAAAAGTGGAGGGTAATTGAAAAGCCGAAACAAGTGCTCGTACTCATCAAGTACGACGGAGAAGGAGAATAGAGGAGGAGGGAGCCGGTCAAAGGAGCCCTAAACGCGCGGTGGCCGGGAAATTAGAAAAGTTTCGAGTTTGACGATTTTACACGCGCGCACGCTTTTCTAGCCGTTACTAGAGCTTGCTCTCCCTCCCTCGCCCCTCTCCTTTGCTGGTTTTTCCTTAGTTCGTGAAAATGCAATTTCCACCCTGGCTATATATACCTTGTGGACCTTTCTTTTCCGGCTGCATGTCAAAATGCGGCGTATCTCTTCTGTGGCGAGGAATAATTTTCCGGGAAGATTGAAAAAAAAGCTCGATTAGCATTTAGAGAAGAAAATCATCTTTTTCTTCTTTTCCCTCCTCATCGTTTTCCAACATTTTTCAAAAGCCGAAAGCGTGTCATCCGACTCGTGATTAGTATAAAGGTCAAAGGGAGATCGAAATTGGTTTTGATTTCCGCGGATGATGTTTTTTTGCCAAAAGCTCTCTAAGCGTTTGGAAATTCGGGGATCACAATTGCCGAGTGGCTGGCGTATTCCTTTGCCGAGAGGAAATCTCGTTTCTGGCGAGCAAACGTGACTCGAGCGGAGCTTTCTATTTTCCGGGCGACCCGTCCTCTCGGCCTCTCCGACGTATCTTTTCCTTTCATCCTCTTCCCCTGTGTCTTTTACGTCCGCGTCGACTCGTCGATTTCATCCGCTGCATTTTCCGATGTTTATTTCCCTCCCCCACCCCTCTTCCTGCCGTATTGTATTTTTCGTTTTTACGACGTTTTCGAGTTTATTTGCGATGCAAAGTTGGATACGGCTGTTGTTACAATGCCAAAGGGTCTCGAGGACGCGTACGTGAAAGCCCAGGGAGTCTTTCTCTGGAGTCTGTTGTTTCGAGAGGCCATTTCGATGGGTGTACTTTAAAGTAAAACCAGCTTTCCCGATGGCCCCGGATAAAGGGTATTTGAAATTTAAAAATCTCCTCTTTCTCCCCCTTGACACGATGGTTCCACCCAGGATTGCTTTAATAATTCACTTCGTCGTACACATCCGTACTCATATTTATTCATAATTAAATACGTTTCGAAAATAAAATGCATAAAGTTAAACCTTTTTGAGTCGCTGGTACGCCTGGATAAAAATGATTTATTCATAGTTGGTTGTTACTGTATGAGCCAGCTATACTACAATCGTACATTGAAATGTTTTTTCAACAACATTTCTAGGAAAAACGCGCGAATTTCGAGAACCCCCGTAATCCTCTTCTAAATTCCTGTACAACCAACGGGTGGAGTAAAGGGGGGTGAAGAAGATGCTCGGAGCCAAGGAAAACATTTGCAGAACAAAGAAAATTGGTAAATCGTAAAACAAAGATGAGACGCCCGTCCCGTTGAGTCAAAGACTCTGGCGGAAGAACATTTTTACCTCTCTCTCTCTCGTTTCCACGCAAGCAAAGCGCTCGTCTTTGGCTCAGTCTCGGAAATATTTCCGAGGAAGCTCCGGCACGTCTATCTCATCTCGTCTCCTCCTCCCTACTTCCACGCGGCATTACCCCCGAGCTTGCAAGCTCTCGAATCCTCGTTACACGTCTTGCAGATCCGCGGAGGAGAAAGCGCTCTTCCGAACAAAAAGGAAAAGAAAAAAAATCACACGGACGCGCAGAGT